AAAAAAAATCAACATTCCCCCCCAAAGTTCAGGAGTCTGCCAAACCACAGCTTTTATTTTCACCCCAGGCAATTATGATTTTGCTGCTACTAAGCTATAAAGATACAAAGGTATCAATCAATCTGGATTATTGCCAAACAGGACGCCAGCCCCAAAGCTCTCTCTACCCATGCAGGTGCCTGGGAGCACTACCAGAAATGAAACAGCTCATTCCCACAGCGAAACTTTGTAACGGAGACTTCTCCTGTTTCCTGGTTTCAGACTTTGGTCACCATCTATCCGGCAAAAAAATCTTCTGATGAAATCGAAATCCACAGGCACAGAATACAGTGAGCTGTACAAAGCAGCAAGAGCCAGGACACTGGCTGGCTGGCAGATGGTTAGGAGGAGGGCCTAGAAGGTTTCCTCTACCATCTCCATTACTGAACTGCTGTGGGAGTGTGCAAAAGCTCTGTTGTTTTCAGTTACTTGGGCAAGTAGTTTCTGGGGGCCCAAAACGTAGCTCTTTCTGTTCTAAGTGCATCTGAAGTATGTAAAATTAGGTCTCCTCTTCAATAGGAATCACTCATGAAAATGTCAGCTATAAATGTCTTCACAGTACAAGTTCCTGTGAGCATATCACCCACTTATACTTTACAAGGACAGTGTCTGAAAAGTTTCAAGATCATGACATGTAACAGACCAAACAAGCACAAAGCCTTATTTAAAGGCACTATTAACCCAGCTGGAAATATGACTAAAAGCATGAGTAGGAACAATATTTTATGTTAGACAAGACAGACTTACCTGCAGGTCAAAGAACTTGCTGTATCTCCGGTAGATGATCTGGGAAGTTAGGTCAGACCATGTTACATTGATGATATAGACCTGTCCAGGGAAAAGAAAACACAAATCAGTACAGGCCACAAAGCACAGGATACATGCAAAGGCTGAAGAGTTGACATAGGTTAATTTCCAGATCTTACTGGCTGCTCCTGCTCACAAAGAGGAATATAGCCCTGGGTGCAGGACTAGCATAAATTAAAGCTGTTGCCCTGTTGCAGCCTTTAGCAGAGGTCTCAGGACAGTACCCAGTATTCTCCCACATGTCTCCATCACCAGCTCCCACCAATTTTGCTCTCCCTGGGATAAAAGCTTTGAGTGACAGCATATTTTCTGGTCTGTGGCAGCACACCCTGCCCTCTATCCTCTTTGGAGGGTCCCAGGGCCAGTTGCAGTCGTGACTGGGAGAGCTAGTCCACCCCCAAAGCAACACCCCACCATGGGCTGCTGATCTCCAGCCCCACGCTCCCATCTTGTCTTTGTATATGGAGATGTGGCCATCACCCTTCCCAAGCAAGAACTGGCTCTATTTCAACAGGAAATTCAAAGGAAACAGCTCCAGGGCTGTTGTGGGATTACAGCCATGCAATATAGTTGCTTACTCACACCTAGAGATGTGCGACAGCAACTCAACCCTGTCCCAGCACACAGCCCACGCTGAGCCACATCACACCACTCAGCACCTCTGGCACCTATTAGACTGATTTGAAGGTGATGTAAAGCCAGTGAGTGTGACACTGTTGTCTTACGTTGATGGAAACAGCAACGGAAGCCCAGAATAAGCTCAGTATTTCCCTTGTCCAACTCTAGTCCATCTCCAAAACGATCATCTTACAGAAACACCATTTCACCAGAAGCTGTGATAAAAAGTGATTCACATACACCACATACATATGTGTAACATGAAAACAATACTATGGTACTTTTGACCATAGTACCTCCAAAGTATTGTTTTTAAAAAGTTAAAAATGAACCAGGATATGCTCTCTCATACGCTTGCCTTCAGGCTGATGCTAGTCCTGCTGCCTTGATAAAGATACACAACAAGACTTCAGCAAACACAGGAATGGACCTATCAAGGGTGACCACTGAGGGCAACTATGCAACACCAGTATAATGAAAATTACAGCTACACCAGCTCCTGGGCCTTTAAAGCAATTTCCAGGTTTCACATATGGTGTGAGATAAGGATCTGGCAGAGGAAACAGGAAAATATCCCTCCTCCCTCAGCCTCAGTACTGCAGCAGGAGCTCTCCCTTTCGCCATGGATGCAAAAGTGAAGCTCTCTGTCTCCAGCAATGGGGTATGGATAAGCATCACCCTCTTCTCCACCTCCCCTAGGACACTAGCCCGTCTTCCAAGGTGCTGATGCAGGGTAATTGCTTCTGTGCGTTTACCCATAAAAGGTATTGCATGAAAATCCCAGGAGGGATGTTAAATAACAGCCTTAACAATGCTTTTCCAAGGACCACTGAGGAATTTTTCCCTTCTTTCCCAATAGGAGAGAGGTCTCATCTGATATCCCAGAAACCACAGAGGTCCTGCAGCCTCACTTTCCTCTCTGCTTCTTAGAACCACATGCAGTCCACAAGTCAGTCTGCTCCTCACCTCCTGCAGCTCAGTTTCATGGCATTCGAAAACTGGACATGCCAAGCACAGGCTGTTAAGAAGATCTGGAGTCTCCCATCACTGTATCAAACATATCTGCTGTTCCCACCAGGGAGTAGGCCATCAAGGCTGGCAAAGGGAAGACTGTCCAGGGATAAGAGCATGACTCTCAGTAAACCCACGTTATTCCCTCTGCTGTGTCTCATAATTCTCATAGAAAACCAAACCACCCAACCTCCCTCTTGCAATGCTGGTATATACAGGGGCAACACTGGCACTGCCCTATGTCATAGAGGGGAGATAAGACTAATACAAAGATTTCAGGTTCTCTTTAAAGATCTTAGCCATGCAGACAAGGCAAAGGAGTCAGAGCCTGGGAAGGAAGCTGCTGTTGCCAATTTTCAGGCCAGCCACACTACACTGAAAAATATTTTTCCATGTGTTTGTTGGGGAAAAAAAAAAAAAAAAAAAAAGGTTTGTAGCTTCACTCCGAGTTGATTCACACACAAATATTTCTACTCATTCTCTATCCAACAGCTACTTTCAGATGGAAAACCCATTCGATTAAAAACAGATCATGACAGATGGGAGCTGAATAGGATCCAAAAGCAACTTCAGATACTGTAATTCTGGCCCTGAGTTCTCACAAAGGGGATGAGACAGGAGGAGAAACATATTGTACATGCAAATAAAGATTATATTTTTTCTTTAATTATGCATCTTTTCCTCCAGAAACTAGAAACAAAACACATATGCCACAGACATCCAGGCTCTTTGAATTTCATGGCACTTCAGCCTTCTCCATGCTACTCTTCAGAACCCACAAAAACAGTGAGTTCCTGAAATTTTTAACAACCTCCAAGTCTGCTTGATCTAATGCAGGATCCTGCTTCATGAGTCCAGCATTGTTTGGTGGTGCAGTAACACAACAACCCTGCAATATGAGAGGGGGCAGAGTTGGGTGCAAAGGGATATTCTGAGCAAAAGCCTGGATTTCTTAGGTGCAAGGAACAGGTGTAGGAGCAGAACTGCACTGCGCGGTATAGATATGGCCCCAATCTGAAAATCAGGCTCTGTGGGAATGAAGCTGCCACTGACTTTGGACAAGGCAGGATTTTGCTGCACATTTAGGACAGCAATTAAATCTTTTTGAGCCTAAGGTCACCTCAAGCTCAGCAAGTGATGAATTGGGCAGCATGCAGATGCACTGACTTCTGTTTCATGGCAAGATCATAGGAGGAGCAAGAAAAGCCTTTAATCATAACCTGCTGTGCGAAATGAGAAATGAAGGTGCATGAAAACCTGCTCGGCTGGAGGTAGGTGCAAAATCTAAAATGGCTATTGATCTTTTTTGCTTGTTTGCACAAATAAAATCGCTTCTCAAAAGCCACAATTTAAAATAATGGGGAATAATTTGTGGGTTGAAAAAGATCCGTAAAATGCCAGATTATAAACGCAAGGTCTAGAGGTTTCAAAAGCCTTAAATATCACATTTCTCTTCCTTAGAGATCAGAGTTTGAAAATTATTCACTTCCGCTGCCTTGGTCAGATCCATAACCTTTTCATGAGCAGCAAACATTACATCAGCTTACCTCATCAGCTTTTTTCTCAGATCTTAAAATGGGTTGCTGTGAAAGCGATCAGCAATATCCCAGGGGAGGAGGAGAACAGCAGTCTTGAGGGAGCCCAAGGTCATGCAAATGCAACAGGACAAGAAGGCAGCAGGAAATATCAGATAAATATGGAGAGTCATCCCACGCTCAAACACTCGGCAGAGCCAGCATCACTCTCGTGAGCTGCCTGCAGTGTCAAGCCAAGGCTTTCTGTGCCATCCAACAACTCCCCAGAACGGAGCCACACAGTGAAATTCCCTGGGCCCTGGCACAATTTTTCTTGATAAAAGAAAATGAAATCAGAGCACCTCCATGTAACTACAGGGCTTTCCTACAGTTCATACATGCAGACACCTGAACCGTAATTGTGACTGCCAATTACAAATTGCTTCAATAAGTAATTACTAAAGGCAAAGAGATCTGCTTTATGTATCTGTCACGTCTATTAGCTCAAACACAGATGCTGTTCAAATGCTTCACCTTAAAAATCCTTAACAAAATGTCCTTAACAATGAATGATAATAGAAGTACAACGACAAACAACTCACTGCACAATCACTGGGTGCTCCAGCCAGTAAGAACACTCCATTTTTAATTTCACAAATCCAGCCTTTTTGCGTTTACTATTAGATTTTTAAAGAAATCCTTCTTCAGATAAACAAGAAGCAGACTTTTACAGACTATAGAGTTATTAATCAGGAGCTGAGCTTGATAAGCAGTTCTTAATATTCATGCCTTATGAAAGAAGGTGCATGGCATCAGGGGGATTTTATCAGCTGCTAATTATTGTTTAATTCCAGCTCTGGGAAACTTCTAGTTTACCCACCATGGAGCAGAAAATTTATTGCAAACCGAAGTTATTGCTTTCCCTTTACTGCCTACACCAAGTGAAGAGGAGAGATAACTTCCTACTACAAAACACATTCACTCAAATGTCACTAGGGATGACTTTATCGTTGACTGTCTTGTTTTCAATGGAAAATATCCAGTTCCAGCTAGCACAAACCCCAGAGGCAAAGAATTCAGGTTATTCTCATGTGACTGATTTTTCAGTTGGGTTTTTATAGGTTTATGTTTTGTTTTCTACAGCCAGATGAGCTAGAGTGGAACACAAATGTCTTGAAATGAGTCGTCTGATGAGACCACGATAAGAATACACACAAATACACAATCTATTAACAAAGAGAAGACTGAAGAACAGAGACCAGAAATATCTCTGCACACAAGAGAGGGTGCTGTTAACATCTTTAATATGTAATTAGAGTAAATACCAGCTTTAGGAGAGTTTTATGAATGCAAAAGACAAGGCTATGGTGCAATTTGTACGCAGATACCATCATGAAATCCCCTTTTATTCAAAGTGTCCCTTTAAAGTGTTGGATGTTTGTCCTTGGGTGCATCAGGTGGGAGTTGGAAAAGACACACCTTTTTCACCTGTATTCAGATGCTATCACTGCCTGTGAGCTGGAAGCTTTCCACCAGCAAAAGTCAGCATGTGAACATGACCTGGTCCACTTCCATGCAAAGTCAGCCCAGCTCCTGCAAGGCTTACAGCAATTTCAGCTGGTCCATTTAGCGGGTGGAGTTTACATTAAAACAACTCAAACGGCAGCAGCCCTCCACAAAGTCAACATAGATCTGTGCCCTAAATTACTAGAGTACAGCCACTGCACTGACCTACTGTTTGCATAACCATTTTAATGTCAAAGATGTGCTGATCAGCACAAATCGTTGCTAGCACAGATCCAGGTTCGGAGTGATAACAGCCTTGAGACCACACTTGGTACCCACAAGGCCAAAGCAGCAAAGCTGTTCACCTTCCTG